GAGTCCCCATCCCTGGAGGTAATTTAAAAGAGTGTAGATGAAGCGCTTAGGGACATGGTTTAGTGGGCATGGTGGTGTTGGGTTGACGGTTGGACTCGATGATCTTAGAGGTCTTTTCCAACCTTAAAGATTCTATGATTCAGCTTAACTGCCACCTCCTCATCCACTCCGGACTTAAACTGCAATAATTCAAAGGTGGGTTTCAATTCTTCTACCCTGAATATTTTTGTAACGCCACCTCCTCATCCACTCCGGACTTAAACTGCAATAATTCAAAGGTGGGTCTCAATTCTTCTACCCTGAATATTTTTGTAACAGCTACTACTCACCTCTGAAAAGCATCCTATCCACTTAATTTCTTGTCTCTAATTATCTACCTCTAATTATTAACTAATTATCCATACGAGGACTTAACCCTCTCATGCAGAAGGCTACCGAATGACTTCTGGAAATTCTGCCATAGCAAATTGGAACTTCCTTACGTGCATTCTTGCTAACTCCTCCAGTGAGCTCCAAAAGTTTTAAGGCACAACTTCTTTTCACAAAGCTCTGTTGACCTTTCCACCATCTATTATAATTACCATGTGTCCATGAACTCTGTACATTACTGTAGTTGCTAATCAGCACAAACATCCTGAGTAAACATCCTTTTAACACTGGCTTCACACTGCATTTATATCCAACGACCTAAAGGTGTCTAGCTAAAGGAGTCATTACGTACCAGTTAGTAAAATTACTTCATCCCTCACTTTCTACAGAGTTATAGGATGAACACTGTCTGGTTCTAGCAACTTGCTTTCATGTTGTCCATTTGTTCTCTAAACTCTTAACAAATGCTGATTTGAGAGAGAGTTCCTCTGATGAGTTACCCATAAAAGGTTCTTGGCAGGGCAACGTTTCCAAAATTTTCAACAATGAACACAGATGCAAAGCAAAGGTTTTCTGCTATCGCTTTATATTCTGAAAGTTTCTTTTATAAAGTGATCATCTTGTGTCCCTAGGGCTTGTGATAGGTTTGCTACTACTAGTGTGCTGAAAGACAATTGCTATTATTAAAGACTTTTCAAAATATATTCCTCAAATTCTTTTGTTCTATCTTATGCTTTTATATTCTACTTGCCAGATTTTATATCCTTACAATTTTCCTCATTTGGATACTACTTCAGCTTTCTAATAACTATCTTTGCCTGATGTTCAGCCATGCCAGCTTCCTTTCACGCTTCCCTTGATAGCTGGCATGCTTCTGGTCTGTACCTCCAGCATGGCATCTTTAATTCTTGGCGGGTGGTAAATACTTTGCTACTAGTTGCCTCTTTTAGCTTTAACACGCTTTCCTAGTGTAGCTATGCTGTATTTCCAATCAAGTTGGAAAATTTTGCTTTTCTTGCAAGAAAAATGAATCTAAGCATGTTATGATCTCTAGTACAGAGAGCCTTCTCGCAGGTAACATTGTAAGCCACATCCCACACACTCTTTTGGACCAATTTAAATGGTTGCCTCTTCTGTAAATACTCCTTAACCATGATGCTTCACAAAACAGCCACGACTATTTTTATAAACAACTTAAGGTTTTGATCCACTTGTTTGGTCGTTGCAAAAGACGACGACACATGAGCTTTTTGCAGAAGTGTCATGAAGCATCATTGTATCCCATTTATAACATTTATTTCCCTTTACATAAGGTTTTCCCCACCACCATCTCAAGGTACTGCTGAAGTAAGAATTAAGAGAGAGAATGAGCACACTGCAAATCTCTTTTTTCAGGAGTTAAGTATTATGTAAGATCCTATACGCAGATAAGATTCCAGTTGATTTTATTTTTTTTTTTTTTTTTTTAAATTTTTGTTTGTTTGTTTTTCTTTTCACATAAGGAACTAGAAGGCTGTGGCAGAGAAAGGCAGATTCACCAAAAAAGCAAACGTGGGATTTTTTTCTCCTCCACCCCACTGAAAGAACTGCTCCTGCATAGCAGTACGGTAGAGATTCAAGAGCAAAGGAGCGCAACATAGATCCATTCAGAGAAGATCTAGAAAACACTTCAAGAAGCTCTCTAAACTACCGGGGATTATTATTTAAAGTTTTATTGCTAAAACTTATTTATACTTCCAGACACTAACTGAGCAGAGAGGTGACAAAACTGCCTTGTGAATACTCAAGATACAACGTTAGTATAAAGCGAGTTTTGTTTTCCTTTTAGAAAAGAATGTAATGTGTTCCTCTAAAGAACTGTTACTTGAGTTGTTTCATTGCTTTGACAATCTGGATGTGAAAAACAAC